AAAAAAAAGAAAAAAAACAAATTGGAAGTTTGCCCCCCCCCCCCAACAATAACAACAGCAGAAATTTATCAAAAAGAAGTATCAAGGATTTTGCAAGACACATTTCTTTTACAAGAGAAATGTACTTCTATGAAGGCAGTCTGCTTTGACTCATTATTACAGCAGAATTTTTTGTTTTTGATCATGTGACAGCTAAAGTTTCCTCTTCTTGGTAGTGATAATGAATAACCTGTTATGAACCTATTTTTGCATTATAGTTGCTTTGAGCCTCCATTATATTATACATGCACACAAGGCTCCTGATAATTTTCTGTTGTCCTTATCGGCTAAAAGCATTACAACCACTTCATTGACAAGTCTGATTATTGTAACACTAGTTGATCAAAATGAATGAAAAAAATTCTTCATGAAGTGAATTGAATCTGTGTACATGCTATATGGTCTGTGCCCTAATGACCTTTTTACTTTATCTAGTACAAAGGGTCATACTGTTTTTATATAGGTGGTACTGGAAGAATATTCATGTTTAAAGTGCACTGCTAATACAGGTGGAACTATGCTGATCACGGTGTAAAAAGTGTCTTCATAATAAAACCACAAACTTACATGGTCTTCACAGAAAGGGGGTTTGAGAGCATGCTGTTTCATTATATAGCACACAGTTCAAATAAATCAAAAATGATATGTCTATTCTTTGCAGAAGCAGAGGCTGCTCAAAAAGCTGGACTGAAAGCAGTGATTGTGGTTCGAGAAGGCACTGAACTTCTTACAGAAGAAGACAAAGTTAGTTTTCCAGTAATAAAGTCTTTCCATGACTTTGTATTTGAAGCCTCTGCCAAGAGAAAGAAGATGTGTACTAATGATGAATCACCTGCAAATGGACCTATAAGTGAGACATCAGAAAGCTCAATTACAGAAAAAAATAAGGCTGTAAAAAAGACCGAAGAAGTCAGTCCAGAATCTGCTGGTTCTGGGAATACTGTAAGTTCCTCAGATTGTGAAATGATGGATGTAAGCAGTAATGATGCTCAAGTGACTGATATGGAGCCTGATAAAACAAAAATTGAATCTCAGAGCACTGATGATAAAACGATGGCAGTAGAAGACAGCGATACAAAGGAGTCTGAAAAGGTTGAACTAGAACCTGATGATTCAGAAGTTTGTAAGACAGAATCTTCAGCGCCTGAGTCAAAGACTGTGGGGGCACCTGATGTAGAGAAAGAATCACCAAAAGTATGTTCAGAAAATGCTGAAGAATGTGACGGTAAAGAAGTATCAGTAACAAGTCTTACAAAATTGTCTGCAGAAGTCTCTAAGGTAGATATTGATGTTAAATTAAATGACAGTAAAGCTGATAAGAAAGATTCAGAAGCAGGGGAAACTGAAGTGGACATAAAGGGAATACCAGCCAATGAAGAAGAGACAAAAGTGGATGCAGAAGAAACAGAAGCTGTAGGCATGAGCACAAAGGATAAAAATGTTGAAGTCAGAATCTCAGAAAATGATTCAAGGGATGGGGCTGAGTTAGAAACTGTTTCAGGAGGCTCAAAAAATAAATCAGTAGGTACAATATCTAATTGTTTGGAGAGTGAATCTGGAGCACTAGAAACAGGTTCAGAAGAAGGAAAAATAGATTCTTGTGATGAAGTTGCAGAAGTCAATGCTGGTGATAAAAAGAAGTTTTGTGATTCCAGAAGTGCTTCTGGTGATGTGAAGGGAGATTCTTGTAATGAAGATGCGAACTTAGAAGAAACAGAAGCTGATACACAAAACAAAAAGACTGATGTAAACAATACAGAGACTGAGGAAAAAATGGAAACCAACACTACAGAAATTGAAAATGTCAAAGGTATTAATGATGAGGACGTGAAAGATACAGAAAAGAATGATAGAGACACCTTGGCAGCTGAAATGGAGGATGAAATTACAGAAGAAATGGAATCTTCAGCAAAACTTGGAAAGAACGATGTGGCATTAAAGAAGAAAATTGATATGGAATCTGGAGGGACTGCAAATGGAAGAGAGAAAGGAGAAAATACAAAACCCTCTGAAGATTTATCAGTCAGTGAAGAAAGTGGAGTTACCAAATCAGAATCTGAAGTAGCCACCAAAACAGAATCTGATATTCTGAATCAGACATCAGAGAAACAGTCTGATATTGACTTTTCTGCAGATGCATCCCCAGAAAATACTGATGCTAGTCCTGAAGAATCAAAGACAGAAGGAATTTCTGAAGATCCCGAATCTACAGATAAAATGTTACAAGATAAGATGGAAGATGTCTCAGATGCTGTAAAAAATGAAGACTCTGAATTACTCGCTACCTCAGATAATGATACAGTGAAAGAGGATGCAAATGCAAATGAGGATACTAAACCACTGGACTCTAAGAATGAAGGGGATGAAGAATCCAAAACAGCAGAGGATACTGCCAAAGAAAATGGATTAGCATTCACCACTGAGAATGGTAAAGGAGATGTTACTAATAAATGCCCTGATACTGAACAGAATGGGGAGGTGACAGATAAGGAGCAGGATGTTAAGATTAAAAAACTTTCAATTGATGGTTCAGGGAATACCAGTATGACTAAGGATGATGTTGCTACCCCTGCAGTAGCTTCAGGCAGCTCTTAACTCCCATTTGAAAATTCATGCTAGTCTTGTCATCAGCTGCAAGACATTATGTTCCTTTTCCATTGTTTACTGTTTCCATTTAAGTATTGTTTTTACATTTTGTATTTGTTATTTATGTGATTTGTGCCAAATTGATATTACATATACTCACAGAAATGGTCTTTGTTTCCTTCATGATAAGACTGATTCAGAATTGTGTATGTACCTGATGTGGGATGTAGCATCTTCTGTGATCAGTTCCCACTCGCTCTTCATTCTCATGGTATCTTGGCATTCTGATTGCAGAGTTAAGGTTAGTTACTGATGGGTTGTGCTTAATTGTATTTAATTGTGACTAAATTGAACAGTCTTCCAGAAAGAGTATGTGGAGTTCTGCAAGGTGTTGTTTGAACTTACAAGAACATTTTGTATACATTGATAAACAACCATAATTCTAACATGATAAATGGCTGGTATACATCAGCGTGTAATTTATAATTTAGCATGATGTTAAATCCATTCCATGATATGCTTCATAACTATATTCCTTTTATTTTTATTGTTATTAAAAGTTGCTTGTAACACTTTGGTCTGAAAGTGCATTCATTGTACTTGCAGTGTAAAGACTCAGGAGTACTCATTGTATTTTTGGTACTAGGAATAATACATCTTTTTAAAGCATGACTGTCATTTATTTTTGTAATTCCTGATTATCATTCTCATTGATAGATATGAATATGTTGATTTATTCTGTTCCCCTTGTTTCCCTCCACTTTTACAGCGTTATGAACATGTTGTGCTTTGTGTATGAGGGGTAGAATAATATTTGTTAAGTTATTTTATTCAAGCATCGTGTTGCATCGAGGTTCCACTGCAGTCAATAAAATGTTCTGTTTATAAAGCAACAAGCAGTAACATTGATTCACACTTTAATACCACACAGTGGTCCTCGTGTGCATAAGATGTTATTAAAACTAATAAAATATTAGTGTATATGCATTTTTATAAGGCTACATGTTTCAGCCACATACGGACATCTTCAGGCAACACTTAAGTGNATAAAATATTAGTGTATATGCATTTTTATAAGGCTACATGTTTCAGGCAACACTTAAGTAGGGAATCATAATACACTGTGCACTTATCGAATATCATTCCATTTATTATTTTCGTTTCGTTTTTTGATGTTCTCTTCATATCTTTTATGTAGTGCAGCTGTTCCCGTATTTCGCTGCATCGCTCGTGATTGTATGTTTCAAGTGTGCCTTTGCATTCATGCTTAAATTTTTGCAAGATAGGTTTTCAAGAAAGTGGTGACATTTAGTAAATTCTTTTGTCCGTCTGAGTTGTGTGGGCTGTAATGTTTGTTGTCGAGACCCTCATTTTTAGCCTACTTTCCATATTTAAAAAAATTGGGTTTATGAGCTCATCTTGTCCATGGTTCCCACTCCCCATGGGGTCATGTTGAATCAGAAGAGAGTATGTGATTAGTGCTTAGTGAAGATTGGGATCAGGGGTGGTGCGACAGTAGTAAGCCACGTGACGTCCTGGGACGACACACTGTATGGACCTGTTTTTTTCTTTGTGTAAAATTAAACGTTCACTAGCCTTTTGTCCATATTGTGACCAGTAATTAGCAACAATGCAAATAAAACTGTTTTAAGAGTAACATCAAACAGTTCTCATCACCATCACTAAATTTTGCTATTGTAACACAATCTTGTGGCAGTTAATCTGTTATAACTGGGGGTGCAGAATTTCTTGTCACTTAGGGCTTCATGCCCTGATCTCTATAAACATAACAGGTAACATCACTACTGCAATACACTGTAGGATCCTGAAGTTCTCTATGATAACAGGTCTTGAGTTCCAAATATTTACTTATGTATCCTAGCCCCAAATACGATCAATTTTCGTTTCCCCCATAGGGCAAAAGATCAAGTTTCATAGCAATACAAAACAGCAGGTAAACTAATTAGTCAAGAGCGCTGTAGCTGGGATTTGACGCTGTGTAGTCCAGTGAAATTCTACCGACTTATGGGGGAATATATCGCTTCCATCTTCAGGGCCGAAGAGTATGCCAAGTGAGAAACCAGAATGAAACACAATAAGCTCTGCCAGTCCTTTATAACCGTCGTTGTGCCGTTAAATAAATTCGTCGATTTGAGGGTAAAGGTAACCTGTCTGAACTTTTATTCACTACAAATTCCGTGACAACAAAGAGGATGGTAAACTCAGTAATGTGTGGTCTTGTCTGCTGTTGATTTGCATGGAAAATAACGTAATCTATAAGGGTCCCAATCAAATACATAAGTTGTTCGTGCACATCGTTTCAACGCAATGCAGTATGAATCTACCCTGGAAAGAGCAACTCTTGATACGCATGTGCAAATTGAAGCGTACCCGAGTTCGATATCTGTGTGACGACCGAACAGTCCTGTCCGTCCTGTCAGACCAATGTGGGTCGGTACCGTAGTATCAGTGGGATAGCGCTATTACATTCAGATTTGAACGGTAAATTAAAGTAGCAAAAAAAACTTTCGCTCAAAATTTTTAAAAACTGATTCTTCGTTGGACGAAGATGAGGTATTTTTATAATCATGCAATTCTTTATAAAGTAAACATTATCTTCATTACTTTCTTGCAGTTCTAAGCCGGTGTTGTCCCATTTCATATCCTTATGTTCTTGCACACCAAATTCGCTAAATCTTATAAATTTGGATGTGATTTTTTAAATTCTGTTAATTGTTCATTGTAGACAAACGACTTCAAACTCAAAAATATAGGTTCGACACTACACGAAGTAAGCAGAAAAATCTAGCATGTACCGACTACAAGATAATTTCCTGTGGTCCTACTTCACTGCAGCGGAATCTTACAGTGGTATGCATGATGTTATTTAAAACCTGATATTCGTAAATTTGTCTTGGAATGACGCTCCTGCATATCACGCTGGTTTGAGAGAATTAATACTCATCATTACTGCTTTGGCACCTCTATACCCATTTCTCGTTATACACCGCAAATGTCTTACCTTGGGGAAGGATGGTCATGCTGTACATCATAATGCAAGCATTAAAATGACATGTTATGAGACTGGCAATTGCCTACGAAGATGCACATCTGCAGAAAGATTGTATTCCATCACCATCTACCTTCCAGGTTCATGCTTTGCCTTATTTCATCTCCTCTTAGGAATCAGTTTCGATCTCCAATTTATAACTTGGCGGTTCCCCCGTCTCTCTTTCTGTCACTGTAACGAACTCCACGAAGCACAGTCCTTGAGAAGCTACCATCCGCTATAATTGTTATAACTCGTGATGTCTGGGCTCATCCTCCCTTCCGTCTGGACGCATCCCCGTGTGTGTGTTGTCCAAACGTTTCAGCCGCACTACCCTTCTTCTCTGGAGCTGTGATAGTTCAGTCGGTATAGTGACTGGGCGACCGAGAAATCGGGTTTCGATTCCTGGCAAGAACAAGATATTCTGTATAAAGTCCATACAAGCTATGGGGTCCACCGAGCCTCAAACACAATGGATACGGGGGTTATTTCCTCGAAGGTAAAGCAGCAGTGACGTAAAGCTGACCACACACCTCCATATAGTGCCAAAGTTAAGAACGGTTGAGCTATACCTTCACGCCCCCATACGCCTGAATGGCGTGGTGCTTGATTGCGAGCACGTAAGCACGGTGTAACTTTACCTGTACCTTCCCTCAAAGTTAGTTTATCATTTGTTCAGAAGTAACGCCGGCGAAATCTAGTAACATACCGTTTTGACTATACAGGTACTGTGCTGGAAAGAAAAGACGCCCAACAAGAACTTTCTCAAGGAGCAAAGCCATGTAGCAGTGCTTGAGAAGCTGAGAGTCGCTTGGGTAGTAAAATTCCTCTACTTTATGGAGCCCGAAGGTTCACTGCCATAGCCACAACAGCCGCCCTCATATTCCATAAATAGGGATAAAGGACGCTCCTTGTAATATAGGTATAACAATGTATTAGGCTTCCTTTGTTTTAGCCGGGGTGTTCATCGCTATGTAATGTAAAATGAAAAATGTTTCAAGCGCAGTCACTCTTTTTCTCTAAATTTGATCCAGTATCGGAAAATGCAGTCGTAGGTAGGTGTACTGGTAAACCCAAGTACACGGTTTTACTTCCCAGAAGATTATAAGTGCTCTTAATAGCCACACTCTGAGAACCTAATCAAAACAAACTCCGTGGTTTTAGTCCACAAGCGAACTATACCGACCGAGCTAACGCCGCTTGTCAGCGAAGTTAATGCCAAATTTTGCAGTTAGAGGATGTCGCGTGCTCGGGGCAACAGATCCTTACGACCGTTAATTTCGGTTTTCTAGACCGGAGCCGCTATTTAGCTCCTCAATTATCCTCACAAGGCTGAGTGGACCCCGTTCCAGAACCACTACTTCTTAGAAAATCTAGTAGCGCCGGGAACCGAACCCGGACCTCTTGATCTGTAGGCAGGCACTCAGACCACTAGACCACAGTGGCTGCCATGAGGAATTAGCGTAAGACTACTACATTAATTGGGGACGTAGCCATACATATGATCATGAGTTATTATAGGTTCAAATTCACAATGAAATTCGCAATTACAGAAATTTGCCCACGGGACATTGTATTTGTTAAATGTAAAATACCAAGCATTCATGTGCGTGATTAATGCCATATACTCTTTAAGAACGACAGTGGGTAACTTCACGTCTCACCCATCTTTACCTCTGCTAAGATTTTACTACCCAGACTGCTAATTCAGTGAAGGCCACGTGGTTGACGACACAGTTGATAAGGATTTTATTTCAGAAGAATGCATGACTGCTTTCTCACTACCGGTACTTCCAAGTCATAAGCCATCGTAACCATGGTCAGTTTGGTATGCCCTACAAAAATCAAGAGTGGCATACTCTGATATTTTGTTGATGTTCCAAATTATTAAATATATATGCACTAATATGTGCTTATATGTTTTATTGGCAATGGTTCCACCACTTAGAAGTTCAAGCCCCTGTCAAGTACTTCATTCTTCTCGTACACAAGTAAAAAATCATTGGTGGGTAGCGGTACTAAAGTTTGTTCAGGCCTATCATCTGCGTTGTCTTCTTAATCCTAGTCGAAAATGCGTGGAAGTACATAGAAAAAAAAACTTTACAAAATTCTCTTTCCTTGCCGCACGGACTGTGTGTAATTAAAAATCTGGGTCCGCTCTGTCATAGACGTAGAGGCAAGATTTAGAAATCATAGTGTTCTAATATGCTGAACTTACGCAGTGAAACTGCCACGTGTCTTACAATGAAAGGCGCCGATTCTGAGGACTGTTTTAGGTAATACACCATGCCGCTGCCCGTTCGCGCTGTTAGGTGTCACGTGAATCTTAATGGTGTAGGTAAACATGTGTGCCGGGGTTTTTGTGGAAGGATTTCCATATTATTCCGATTTCTTTCAACCGTAAGGTGAGCTTTTATTTATTTAATTAGATCACTTATTCGTTGCATACATAACTGTGTCAGTTAATTTAAATAACCTGTGCAAGTTTAGGAAAATTGATCATCAAAACATACTGATGAAGCGTTGCGTCTATTCATCGGCGGTTTCCCCATTTAATTTATCAACAGCAGCAGCAGTAGTAGAAGTAGTAAAGTACGTCTCACTTTTCAGAGTTATGCTTGTATTTGTCACATCAGTAATACACGACACAGCTGTTATGTCTTTCTCACAATCGGATGCCTGTGTGGCGTAAAGAATCTGTGAGCATAGTTTTGTTGAAGAAAAAAATCAAACCACCTGTCACTTTGGTGATACAGAAATGACCTTTTAGGTCACATAAGGAAGTGCACAGAGAGGAGACGAGAAGCGATCTTTCCAAAGGAAACTACCCAAAACATTATTCATTTACGCCTTCATTGTTTTCATCAGAGTGTCAGTTAGAATTTTACATTTAAGAGGTACATAATGTGAAGCTTGGCTTATACTGGTTTTGTTGTACATTTTTTTATGTCGTTCCCTTGATTGAGCCCATGTGAGTGTGAAAATCGTTCACTGTATTTCCATAAAGGACCACGAACTGCCTTCATCCCGTTGCGTTACGTTTTATCTACATTTTATAACACTAGCTGTAATAAATCTACCATTGTTTGAAGTATTTGGCCAAAACAAATATAATCTTTTAATGTCTGCAGGCTATAGGCCCTCAGGTAAATGTGGTCAATTAATAAACTCATTGGTAGAAATGTTTATTTACTCACGAGGAATGCAAAATTCAGACAGATACATAGGTTTTCTTTTTGAAAATAGAATTCAAGTAATAGATCTTCAAGTAAAGAAAATTTATGGCATTAATACTTATATCTTAGTGGCTCTTGCAACGTTATTAGGAGGGACATGAATGAAATTGGTGAATTAAATATATAAAGATATGTGAAACAATTTTCTATAGTTTTTTTCCAATAGTTTGTATTTGTTAGATGTTTACTGTTTATATTGGGGTCGGAGTTCGATTCCCGGTAGGGTCAAGAATTCTCTCTTCTCTGTGTCGTCCAGACCGGCTCTGGGGTACACCCAACCTCCTATCCAGTGCGTACTGGGGGTAAAATGGCCGGGGCTTTAAGCTGACCACTCACCTCCACCTAGTGTCGAGGTCAAGAATACGTGGATCTATATATCCACTCCACCATACGCCTTCATGGGGTAGTGCTTAATTAGTTAAGCACAGGGCCAACTTTACCTTTATTGTTTATATTGGATAGGTATGATCAAAGCTTCAAAATATGAGACCTGTAAAAGCCAAAGGAAGTACACATTTCGATTTTGCTTAATTGACTTGATAGTGGTGAAAGTTGACTTTTCCTTTTTCTCTTTGTAGTAGTCATGTGATCCAATGGTCCTAAACTCATTTAGTTTGAGGCTGTCTTGGTATGAATATATCCATTCGCGGCCTGCCAGCTTATAAAATTACATAAAATGTGATCAAAATATAATTATTAGTACACCATAATTATATCTAATAAGTACTTTCTTCTGTCATATTGTGTGTTTGCATTTTAATGTAGCCCTTCCATATAGATTTATATTACATCTTTGTGGTGGCCTCTGAAGTGAGAGTAACTGTTCCCTATAGGGCTGTGGCCCTCACTTTGGGAATCACGCATATGGTCCTTGGTCTCATCCTAATTTCACCCTCCCTCATCTTATTCAGTTCTTTGACATAACGTTTATGATTTTTTTCTGTTGATAACAATTTCAGATTCATAAAATATGGACTGCTTATAAATTATTTGAATATTTGAGAAGTTCCCAAATACTTGAGAATGAAAGTAACATATGAAGCTGATATTCGTTATGAAATTAAGGTCTCTAAGCAAGTTGGCCCAGAGAATAATACTTCCAATTTTTATTCATGGGGGTGCCTCATTCATATCTCGGCTGTTTTGTTCGCCATTTCTTTCTCTGATATCGAAACTTAAAGATTAAAATAGGAATATAATTTTGCCAGTTGTCTTATATTGGTACAAAACCCGATCTTTTGCTCAGTGGAATGGATGCAGATTGAAAGTGTTTGAGAAAAAAGTGCTGAGGAAAAAACAAGAGTATTTGAGTGTAAAAAGGATAACAAAATAGAGGAATGAATAAATGTATATAAAAATTAGTTTGGTAAGTTGCACTTAGCACCTAATATTATTAGGATGAAATCATGGTGATCTTTCATTTAATTTATAAAATAACGTAACAGCCACACAAAATCTGTATTTGACTTTCCTTATGATGGCAGTAAGGGCTGAACTAATGAAAACTGTAAAATTGGGCATACAGATATACCATAAACACTGGATATTTTATATTAAACATACTTGTGTGTCTTAAAACTACAGAAATTGGGAACATTTTGAGGTTATGTATGACAGCTTTCATGTAGAAGGAATCTATACAGATGGACACTATACACTGACATGGTTGTACAATAATTACCATGTCACTAGGCACTTTAAGAAACCATACACCCTACTGTTAAAAATTAAATACTTAGTTCAATAGGTTGTCTGTGGAACATTCATATGGTGTCTTGTAGTTTGTTGGAGAAGGGGATAGGAAAATTACATTAACTGTGATACACAGAGGAAGAAAAAATGTAAATACTTAACTCTAAATGGTATATCCAGTATATTTCTTCAATGTATGTCAGGTAGTGAGACACATATGGGCATTTAATTTTCATGTAACTAAGAGTTGTTTTTGGAAGAACTATGTTGTGTCCACAGAAGGCATATGTTTAATCTGTAGGCTCCATTCATAAAGTCATGGCATATATTTTCATATGATATTCTTGGATATAGCTACTCAGATAGATGAATCCATTTGGTTGGATAATGTGTAGGGAACAAGTCAGTTTGCCACCTGGGATTGTATAGAGGAAATAAAGTTTACAGACCCAAGGGGGCAGTGGCCCAAAAATGTTTTGGAACCACTGCACTAGATGGAGGTGAGTTGTCGTCTTCAAGCCCCAGCCACTTTACCTCCTTGGAAGGGGCCCCTGGTAGCCATTGTATAAGATGCTGGGTGGGCTCTAGAGCCGGTCTGGATGCTGTGGGGGGAAAAAAATCTCTTGCTCCTGCCAGGAATTGAACCCTGGTCATATAGCTCACAGCCTGGCCTTTCCTGGCTCTTATGTCATGTGGTTTAAGTTCATTCTCAACAGACTGCACGTCATTATATCTTCAAAGCCACTGCATTACCATCTTTACAAGAACTCGTCATTGGTTGCTGTCCCTGTCTAATGCCAGATGAATCTAGTCCACACTTTTATATGCCATTCCTTAAAGATCCAGGTGGTTATCCTCCTGTTTTCACCTTGATCTCCCAAGTGGTAACTTCCCTTCTTATTTTACAACCAAAATTCTAAATAGTTTTCACCTTTTCCATACCTGCTACATTGTCCTTGATTTGATGACACTGATTTCCTTTGGTGAAGAGTACATATGCTGCAGCTCCTCTTTATGCAGTTTTCTCCAGTCCATTAATTAGGCGCAAATATTCTCCTCGGCACCCCATTTTCAAACACACTCAGCCTACATTCTTCCCATGAGAAATCAAGCTTCACACCCATATAAAACCACCGGTAAAATTATAGTTTTGTACATTTTAATCTTCATGCTTTCACATAGGAGAAAAACTATTCTGAACTGAATGGTGGTAGCATTCTTCAGACCTGATCTGCTCTTCATTTCTTCGTGAATGTAATTTTGGTTTGTTATTGCCATTCCAAACTACTACTCCACATTCTAAGGGTTTCATCCCTTATATATATATATATATATATGAGTTTGTGCTTTTTTTTTTTTTGTCACGAGCAAGAACATATGCATAGCTTCTTTACATTACTTCCACAGCTTGGCTTCTTTAATTAGTTATCAATCAGTTAATTAAATCACATAAGCATACACTAGAAGCTGATGTGTCCCATGCAGTCCCAGTCTGATTTTCTTGGTGTATTCTAAAGCAGTGATGGCGAAGCATCTGGTTTCCACACCATTGTGAGTGGTATACATACACAAATACTTACACATCTAGTAATTTGTTTCAGAGATATAATAAATTCAGTGAGAATGCTGCAGAGTACTTCTCTCTACTGTTCATGCACTTTCTGGAAGTCTAAAAATATGTGATTTACTGTCCATTACCCCCCCCCCCGNCCCCCCCCCCGGTGTATGACATATGCACAATATTCATCAGTTCTCACAGTTCTTTCATTTTGTGTTGAGAAACAGCTGTAAAATAATTATGTTTCTAAGTCTGGCATGGAAACACCGTGGAAAAGGCCTACTTAGGATACTGTATCAGATGATGAATTGAGTCATAAGGAATCATGTGATGATGAACCGTCTTATCTCATAAGACCAGTATGTTTCTAGACACAACACAAATGCCCAGACTTTGTACGAATTCCAAAGCAATGAATTAAGCAGAATATTAAGGCTGCGCCATAGCTCAAGTGGTTAGTCACTGGCTTCACACCGTGGCAGCCCAGGTTCGATCCCGGGTCTGGTCAAATGGAATTTGTGGTGGACAAAGTGGCGCTGGGGCGGGTTTTCTCAGAGTACTTTGGTTTCCCCTGCCAATCTTCATTCCACCAAATTCTCAATCATCATAATCACCCGGGGCAGGCTACAATAGGCCAGTCAGTAGCCGCCATGCCGAGTGGACCCAGTTGGAATCCACCCCCCTACTAAGCGAAGCAGAATATTATCAAGGTGAAGAGAACATTGCAGCCAGCCTCAGTGTAGGTTGCCCAGGTTTAGTACTAGTCTTCGAATTTTAGATACCACACTGACTTCACACAGGGAATTTTTTCAAGTCCTACTGTGAAGAAACAAAGAATTATAAACCATATTATTTTGGAAACCATTGTTTATTGCTCATTGCTTTTGTTTCTGGTTCTGTACAAGGACGTAACATGTATCTATTCACAGCATTTGAATAAATACATCTACCTAGATCAATATAAACTATTAATTATTTATAAAGCACAGTATCATTTACGTTAGTTGCCGCTCTCCCTAATCCAATAAAATATCTTTGGCTTTGAAAATATACAAACATTTTTGTACATTAATGCCATTGTTTCTTTCGCATCCTGTCATTGGAATCAACATTGGGTGGAAAAAGTTTTGATTTACATAATTTTGGATCAAATTTTAATCGTTATAGTCCATTCTGTAAAATATGATATAATTATTATAATAATAAATCAGGAATGCAAACTAAATGTTCATGCTTACAAACCCTTAAAAAAAATTTGTGGGCAGACATTCAGTGCAATAACAGACACCAAGCAATGTCTTCCATAAATAATAGCTGTGAATATAGTCACTTTAGTACCATAAGATGATACTTATGCAAATGGATCAAAAAAGAGCAGCTTTTGCTAATGTTCAGTACACTCCATCTTTCATTTGAACATAAATTATATACATTTTTCAATAAATAAAATAGAAACTATGATGTGCAAAAATTACACTCAGCGATATGGAAATTTCTTGCATGCCACAAGTCGTATGGTGACTGGAAGACAAAACTGAAGTAGTTACAAATTGTGGGCATAAGAAATGCTAATGTACAAGTCAACACAACTGGGCAATGTTACATAAGAAAACAATAAAATGTAAGTGCCTCATTGTTTGCATCCCTGACATAAATAGTAGTAGAACTGCTAACATAATGAGTTCTCTACGAAGATTTCAGACAGACAAATCATTTCTACAAGTTAATTTCAAAAACAGGATGGCCCCTCAACCAGGATACCATTAATAGAAAGGGTATTCAGAAACACAACAGATAGGTGGGCCAGGGCAGTGATGTGACATTTCTGTTGAGGCTGAAAATTTCATACTTAAAATGTTTTGTTGTTGTCCATGTGTTCATTCAACAGTTGTTCCTCTTAAACACACCATCAGAATTTGTCTTAGAAACAGCTAAAATTCTAATTCTGTAATTTTGCTGTATTTCTATACAATTAACAGACAGCCTCAACAAGTTTGGTCACATTGTTATAGAAACTGATCAACTTTAATCATTTTTTTTTTGTTTTGGATTTTAAATATAAAAAGGACATGAAAATAACAATTTTTTTCCCCATACATTAGTACTAATGATTGTACATTATTGTTCCATAATTTGAATCTGGTCAGGTGTGGCATTGGCATGACCAAACTGTCTGTAATTTTGAAAGTATTAAACACAATCTGGCCATGAATTTCACACATAAGACATAAGAATTAGTACTAAATTTGCCTAAACATCACATGTATAGCAGAAGTATTGTAGATGGTGGATGATGTATACGAGTAACATTGAAACACAGGGTTCCATTTTTTCAATCACTGGAGTCTTCCTTTCACTTGTTGAACTTTCAGAATGACATCCAACGCAATCTATCCTTGTTTCATTTCCAACAGACAGATCAGAGGGATAACAGTTTAATGGCTTGATGATAAGTTTCAGGACCCATCAACACCATGAAGCAATATCAATTGCATGAAAATGGTAGTATGTTGTTTATTCTGTTTCAACTTCACACCAATTACCATTTAGAATACAGGCCACCATATATGCAAGTGTCATGGTACATTTGTAGTAAATTGCATTTCAATTCATGCAATAATTTTTTCACACAGTTGTGCCAATCATGTATTGATGACAATTTGTAAGATAACCAATGAAGCACTGACAGTAATTATATAATCCAAGATATTTTCTTTCATCTAAAATATTAACAATTTGAGTAGCATGTGGACTATAGTTATTGCATTCTCTTCACTTTCTCTTGTATGGTTATAGATTTTGACATATTAACTAACATTAGCAGCCAATGTGTTAGATGTAACAGAATTGTACATAATATCACAGCACAATAATTTTCAAATTGTCCATCAGAGGGAACTGGCAACGCCGCATTGACCACATCATTTCTCCAACGAATATCACAACCAATTACTTTGGCAGTTAGAAGCTTTGTTAAACTCTGTGAGATGATTATTTTTCCAAAGGTTTTGTGCATGTTCTTGTGTACAAGCCAGAGTGTGGGAACTGAGAAGATGTTTCTGAGATCATATAGAAATTAAGTTATTTGTAAACAGTTTCTCCAAGTCCCATGGAAATACTGCATACCATTATGTGCATGCTGTTTAATCATCTGTGCCAATTAATATCTACTTTTCTCGCTGGAGAAATGAACTGGTCCACAGTGAACCAGTTTGTGGGTGACATATTGTGAAACATTCATAATGGTATCCTGAGCTACATAAATCAGCTACTTGTAAAATTGTGACATTTTTATTTATTATATATAATTTTTAATGCTATATAATAATTAAAATGACAGCCAAAAGGACACTTGCAACACTGATGACAATTTAAGTTTCCTGAATCAACCACAATGCCCACCTTCAGTGGAACATTATCGGACTAGACTTTATTTGATAATCAAAATATTAATATTGTTATATAATAATTATATTTATTGGGAAGTTTCCTCCTGAATGATTTCAAAATATATGTATATAGATAAATCACATTTTTCTTACTATGTACATTATACAATCCTTCATATAATATGTTATTTACAGTGGGTGATCCAGGGGACAGAGCATCAATTTTAAATAATGTCCTTGTGGCTATCAAAACCATAATATAAAGGAATACCTCTTGTTTATTTTACAAAATACCTACTTTACACCTACTCACTTTGTAGCGAGTATTATTTACACTGATGGTTCAGCAGATACACAAGTCCGGGGATAAGTCAGCCTGAAAATGTGGAATTCATATCTCATCCACACAGCCACATCTCAAAGAAAGCATTCTAATTCCAATTTAGATTCATAACTACAAAAATCCCATACTTCTCTGGTGAACCTTCAGTTAGTGAAGGAGTATTTCATACTGTTTAGAATCTTAACTACATTTGCCTCCTTCTACCATCCAACAAGTTAAAGAACAAAATGTGGGGGGGAAAATAAGTCAAACATATTTATCTTTCTGTAATAGATATCACATTCCAGGTGTAACTATTAATAATTTTATCATAGTATTGTGGAAAAACTGAATTTTAAGACCTACACACTAAAGTAATTCAGAGAGCATGTTGTACATACGAGTACAATGAACTGATAATCATAATTCGCCTATTTAGAAAGTGACAGAAAAATAAATAATAAAATTAAATCATTATTATTATTTCCTAATTTCAATTTAAAAAATGTTGAAAACTCCATTTAAAAATGTGTGCACTCAGTATCATTCTGGAGTACAACGTAAAGTCAAGAAAATTGAATCTGTGTTCAGTCATTGTAAAATCATGCATTTCTTTTGAGAAGGTTGTAAGGTCAGATAATCGAGCAGCAATAAGTTTTTCTTTGTCTAGACTATAACTAGTAGTTCCATAACATTAACCAACTAACTAATTCAGTGGAGTAGACTCCTTCCTGAGAAACCAATATTTGCTGAGCTACTTAAGAAATTGTTTGGCTTTTATGGAACCTGAAGCATCATTACTGTGGTTACAAAAGCAGTAGTTTCATTATATTACCATGCCAAATTCTGTTTATCAGATATACAATTATAGTACTCAGTGTGCATCTAAAAAATTAAAAATATGTCAGCAAACAATTTTTATTTCAGTAATGGTTAAGTGTAGCAAATGATATTCAGTTCTGTGCAAGTTAAATCAATCCGACTTGTGTCAGGCATACTTCAAATCTGTGAAGTCCCTTAATCTGAGAGAAAATTGCCATTTATGACAGACCTATTTATTTCTTAATTAGGAACTATGGAAACATGCAGATGGCCAGAATTTGGAAATTGGGAGTTATTGTGAAATCCAAACAGAAGTACGAGTATACTGTGACTATCATGATTGCATATTGAGATGTCTTCATACCAAGTGTGAAAGTGCCCAAGGGGATATGAGTTCAGATCAACATTCTAGAAAAAGGGAAATTATCTGTCCTGAACAGTATGAAATATTCCATGATCTATTTACAGATGGACATGATTTGTCACTCAGGTTTGTCACAATGCCACTTACAATGGGCTCAAGGCCTACTTCACAGCAAGGAATAAAAATCCTTGTACATACTAGCAACATCTATATGAGCACTTTGATAAGTTGCCTTTCTGTGAACTTTCGAGAAAAAATCACTTGCATGATGACAGAAATCAATAGTGAAATCTCTTAGTGCACCTTATGTATCTTCAAAAATATATTCTTTGATATTTTAAAAATGCTAATGTAAATATACAGCAAGAGGAAAGAAGAACATGATGATAAGTACTGTAGTTATTAGGGAAAAATTATATATGGCAACAGTCACTTAAGAAAATCCATGGCAACATAGGACAACCTTAATTTAATTAAATCCTTAGAAGTTCAATAATAATGTCTTTGAGCATGCTTAGCAATGATTTGAGCAGTATGTTGCACTGAAAAATGTAGAGAATATATGAATCAAGTTGATTTTGCACCAGCAATGAACTATGGACTTGACTTTGGGTATTATATTTATTTGGAGAACTAGTTACTACATGAAGTATATGTGGAGCAGCATGCTAGTATTTCCTGTAGGCCTACTAAGAATTCAAAATAACAGAACAATGAACCATTAATACATCTTGGTACTAATTAAAAAAATACAATGTCTAAATTGCAATTCCTGTGGCTCATTTCAATGATACCTTATCCTGCTCATGCAAAGCAATCACCGCAGCGTTACTGTGAAATTTAAAGTGTCGGAGAGGGTTAAAATATCCACCATATGGTCTGGGACTAAGTAATAATTTTCAGCTTAATTTTATGTAAAGGACCATAGACTGTCAAGTCGGATTTCAAATGTGCGCACTTTCTCCACCCTCGGACAGCCCTTCACAACCTGAGCACATTAAGATCAATAAACAAAACAACCAACCGGTAACCTCATGATGCTGGTACCCAACGTTTGCTTGGACGAATCACATGCAACCATCACTGACTGATCAGAGAAGTCAAGACAGGCAACAAACTTTTCAACAAGTTTGATCACATCAGTGATATCAAGTCTGTGCTGCCTGTCCTGAAATTTCTCATTATGTCCCAACCAGCACATGCATGATGCTGTCCAGCTCTCCTTCCCCTTGCCGTCCTGAAAACTCCGAGGAAGGGACGGACTTGAGTATGTCATCGGCACTGAGCGGTGTCAGTTTCCAGCTGGGAAGAAAGTCATCAAACTCATGACCTAGGTCCATATCTCCCAGCAGTCCGAAGGAGCTAGAAGATTCATTCGGACCTAGCCCAGGAAGTGATGACAATGAAGACGACGACGATGATGAGGATGAGGATGACGACGATGAGGATGATGATGAGGAAGAGGAGGAGGCTGATGAATGAGAAGGGGATGAAGGATACAGCTCGTTGTTGTTAAGTGGGTCCAGGTCTGACTGACTTGAGAGGCTTAGGACAGAGCCCCAGTTGATGCCTCTTCCCGACTCTTCATCCCCTACTCCTGAGTCAGTTTCATAGCTCGGATGAACAGAAGTGGGAAACGGAGTTGCCCGTCCTGATGTTGAAAGGTCTCGCAAGTTCTGCTCATATTGAGGAACAATCTCAGGACAGGGGTTCAGAGAACGGTATGCTGTATTAGATGGAGGGTAGTTCATGTTGGAAGTAGGCACTTCAGGGAACTGAGGGTGATGGTAGCTCGGATCTGGATCCACTGCCGGATGGGGTGTTGGGGTGGGTGGTGGTGGGGGCGGCACAGGTGCCTGAACTGTGCCTGTAGCGTTGTTGAAGAAAAATCCTTCTTGCTCCATCTCACGTTCAATGTACCTCAGTGTGTTGCATATGAGTACAGATCGATGGAGGCTGGGGTCTGGAAACTGTCTATACCTACCCAGCTTGCACATTGAGATGTTGAGCACTGCAAGTCGTCTCTGGCGATAGCATGCTGTGTTTGGTCCCTGACTACACCAGTTAGTCCGACTGCCATCACAGCACTTTAAGTTTGATGCACCACTGTTACTAGCACTTGTACTGTTAGCACCACTCACATACCTTGCACTTGAACTACCAAGGTCCAGGTATGACTTCCCATTTTCATCGCAACGAATTGTCTGCTGGGAACTTGCATTCTGGCCATAGTACTCTGCCCCATTTCCACCATCACTTCCACCCTGGGGTCCCCAATACTGTGACACACTCCTCGACTGGTAGTGTTGCTGCCTGGAACCATACTGTGCTGGAGAAGCACTGCCAGAATACCCTCCCTGATCTTCAGCTGTGCCATAGTAACCCATCGGTTTCAGTTCTACAGGATGAGAATAGCACGCTGACCCTACCTCTGTACTGTCCCCACTATAGCGAACACAATGATAACCTCGTCCTGCAGGCAAGTACTTTCCTCCTTTCTCCTCTTCTTCTTCTTCTTCTTCTTCATCATCTTCTTCATCCTCATCATCATCTTCATCATCATCCTCGATGAGTTCGGCCTCAGAAGAACTGCCTAGTAGAGTAGTGGCTAACACAGAGCTGGTACTGTCTACCCTCCAGTCATCCAGGTCAGGTGTGGGGGCTACATCCAACACAGCTTCACGTACAGTCTCTTCTGTGCGGCCCACTTTGGCCGGCTGCGGAGCCTGTTGTCCTTTGCCGTTATCTTCCAGTTTACGTTTACTCGCAGTAACTTGGAGCCCCATCATGGCAGGGCTCTGTAACATGAAAGCAAACAGGAAATTGATTGCATATTTCTATAGGCTGAGGAAAAGGTGTATCATTTGTCAGTTCTTATCAAATTTGGGACACTTATCATGTTTTGAATTGTTATCTACTAAACACATAAAGAGGGATAGACTCTTATGTTACACAGAAGCATGTAAAAGTGACAGAAGAGAAGAGGGTTGTGACATATCTGTGATGTAAAAAATTGATATTTACTTTGAAATTCCAATATCGTAAGTGGTAGCATTTATTAATCTGAGAATTATAACACCTAACAGACTTGTTACATACATATAACAGTAGGAATCATTGTTGGTGCTGGGCCGATTTTTACACGGCCACCACAATTCTTCATTAGTATGCAAAACAGGTCTAAGATTTCTTTAAAAAAATCAATGTATGATGGTATATAAAAAAAGTAAAATAAATGTATCCCTGTAACAGGCCCTGGAGGCCCATATGGTTGTGAGATGTTGAGGTTCCCACATTTTCTAGACAACGGCTCATAGATGGCGGCAAGGTTGTCAGCCCTACGCACCGGCCGCCCTTTACCTCCAAGAATATTCCTGTTAGAGGCTGAGTCGACCCCAGGGCCATAGTGCAGCTGGAAGGATTAGGTGAATTGAAAAAAATCCAATGATTTCATCGGGACTTGAACCCGCGACCTTCCGGCTTGTAGCATAATGCCTCAATCAACTACGCTACCGCGTACCCCCAATGTACGATGGTGGAGACTTAATTTCGGTTCCTCTAACATGTTATAAAGACCATCACTAATTTCTCAGTGCAACAGCTTTCTTGAGAAGCTCATCTTTATTTACTCAATCAACAAATTCTCCACTTTTAACAAAATCCAGGGGTCTATTAGCATGTTCAACAGTGCTTGCCTGAAGTTTGGCCCGATCCTGAGCCAGTTTAATTCAGCGCACACCCTCGTGATGCTATGCTTCTACCTTCCCCTGGGCCTTCCAAGTGGTTTCTTTCCTTGAGGTTTTGTGATTAAGTTGAATCGCTAATGCAAACGCCACAGTACTGAGATCATCACGACTGAACCTGTTTCCACAGCATCCCTCTAAATTAACGGAATTTTTAACCACTAACCATGATCCAAGTTATTTATGAATCATTTTTAGATTTAAATCTATCCACAGCTTTCTTGGTGGAACAAGATGGGGTGATACAACAAGTCCAACTTCCTGTTTTAGTCAACACGCTTTAATAAGGTAAAGCTGTCCCTGTGCTTAATCAATTAAGCACTATGCCATGTAGGTGTATGGGGGAGTGGATGTATAGATCCGCATTTGCTTGACCTCGGCACTAGTTGGAGGTGAGTGGTCAGCTTCACGACCTGGCCGCTTTACCCCCAGGGAAAGAGCCACCAGTACCCATTGGATAGGAGGTTGGGTGGACCCCAGACCCGGTCTGGACGACATGAAGAAGAGAAAATTCTTGACCCTATCAGCCCGTAGCTCATCGCTATACCGACTGGGCTATCCTGGCTCTTCAACATATTTTAATAAGAAAAGGAAAAGTGGTCCAGTTCCACAAAAGAGACTTCCAAATCAGAAGCTTGAGATTGAAATTCTCTAACGTTAGTAGTGCTGAACTCAAGAGGTTCAATACCATGGACACTAAAGGCTGTCACTGGACACAATCTCAGGTAGGTTCCATCCATCTACCACCCTGACAAGTTATTTCCCTATGATCAGTTTTTAATGTTATCCTGTCACCTCTTACCCAGTTATCAAGGTAGCCCCCTTTCTGGAGATTTACCCATCAATAGCTTGTATGCATTTCTTGTTCTCATTCAAACTATGTACAGAACCCGTGTGTAACCATTCAATCCAGTCTGTAAGATCTGGTCCTGACTGAGGTGATGCTGACTATTACTTCTCTCTGGGATGTGGCGTCATGCAGTCTATTTGATGTTCAAATGTTAAGGAGAAATGTTACCTCCATTCGTCACAGATGGGGGCTGCGTTTCTCCTTAACATTAGCAAACATCAAAAAGAATACACGGCGTCACATTAGACGAGAAACAAAATAAAAAAAAAATCCGTGGCTTTAATCCGCGAGCGAACTATACCGACCGAGCGACCGCCGCTTGTCGGCGAAGTTAGTGCCAACTTTAGTGGATAGAGGGTGTCGCGTGGTGAGCGCAACGAATCCCCACAGCCTTTATTTCGGTTTTCTAAACCGGAGTCGCTACTTTTCCATTCAAGTAGCTCCTCAATTATCCTCACGAGGCTGAGCGGACCTCGTTCCAGACCCACTATTTCTCAGAAAATTTTGGTAGCGCCGGGAATCGAACCCGGGACCTCTGGATCTGTAGCCATGAACTCTTGGCCACTAGACCACAGATTAGACGACACTAAGCTTTGTTTGGACACGTCTTCACTTTTACGTGGTCCTTTTCCTCATTTCACCTTTTGAATCTTTGATGGACAGTTTCGTCTATGTCCTTCACATGATGTGTGACGATGTATATAAAGAAAAGGCACAGTGACTGAATCCCATTTTCCCAACAGGGCCAATTTTTACTATCCTCCCCTAGCAACATAAGTTTTGAAAAAGCTCTAACTCTTGATTGTGTCAGAGTCGTCTGCTGCTAGCTGAGCCTTGCTTATTGCATGCACATGATTTTCCTCCTTGAGTCATCGCAAGGTTGCGTCGGACAAATACTTGTGGTATCCGAGCTTCGAACTGCTCACGTTACCAAGACTCGACTAAACCACTAGCGTTATGTTCTCTGGTCGGAATGCAGACTACGGTAACAAGGCTACATCCGCAGCGAAAGCGGTTATACGGCGTTATATCGTAACAAAAGGGGCGTGAAGCTGACCTCTCACCTCCAACTAATGCTGCGGTCAAGAAAATGTGGATCTATATATCCACTCCCCTATACGCCTTCATGGCGTAGTGCTTAATTAGTTAAGTACAGGGACAACTTTACCTTTATACTGTAAAAGTAAAGCTATCCCTGTACCAGGCCGTGAAGGCCCATAGGGTTGTGAAACGTTGAGGGTCCCATGAAAAATGCATGTATAACTTAACCGGCGAGACAGTTTGTGGGTAATAAATGTGTGAACTCTTATACCGTTAAGACATCGATTCCTCTGTGTCTTCTTGCAAGATTTATCCCGCGATTTTGCTTCAAAAGGTCCTTGTGAAGTTGTGATTATAAACTGGTGCGAACTAGTGACTTCACTAAAAATTACTAATTATGCATTATAATGGATTGTGCTGCAGAAAGGCACACAAGTATGATGATGAGCTGTGTTGTTCTTTCCCAAGATGTGCTCCGCTCTATATAGTTAGTTGCTTAAGGCAGGCTGCGCCACAGCTCAAGCGGTTAGTCGCTGGCTTCTCACCGCGGCGGCCCGGGTTCCATCCCGGGTCTGGTCAAGTGGGATTTGTGATGGACAAAGTGGCGCTGGGGCGGGTTTTTGTCAGAGTACTTTAGTTTCCCCTGCAAATCTTCATTCCACCAAATTCTCCATCATCATAATCACCCGGGGCAGGCTACAATAGGTCAATCAGTGGCTGCCGTGCGGAGTGGACCCAGTTGGACTCCCCCCCCCCCACTAGGCGAATTGTTTAAAAAAATAGTTTAAGGCAGTTTTAGTTTAATTTAGTTTTACGTTTTGTACTTCATTTTATATTCCGATACACGCACGGGACTTACAACAATTGAAGCTGACTCAACTTTAAATCCATCAATCAATCTAATCAATAATCACAACAGACCTGTCACTAAGAGTTTAGCTCAGCGTTTGACTTGTATTTGGAAGACGCACCGGACAGTAACTATTTTTCGCACTCTTACTCAGGACATGGACTACGACTGGTTCATCACTGCATAACGTCAACAACAAATTTCGCGTCCATCAATAATGTACTAAACTAAAAGCTACAGTGGATCAACCGAAAAAATCCCGGCCTGATGAGTATTAGTAGCCATTACACGGTGGAAGCATCATTACAATTTGGGTCAGACGGGGAAGTTATTTCGGCATCAGGACCTAGCCCGCGGGAATGGGGAACTACTAACATGGTGGCCTCAGTGTTGCACGTAGGAACCAGTTACAAAGATGGACCTCAAGTTATGTTTTTATATTCACATTAAAAAGTATAAACATATCCAAATGTAGCCATATTAATGATTAAAGCTTCCAGAAATTATGCGTTGAACTCCATACACACACGTGAGCCCAGATTTATATCTCGAAACCTTGCCGTTGTTAAAACTTTTTTAAAACCTATTTCTTCATATTGAGATCTGAATTCGGGAGGTTCTAGTTTCGAAACTCGGCCGAGAAACCTACAATATTGTCCTCAGATTCGTGGATAGTACCACGATTAGGTTCAGACCGCTTCCTTCGAAACTTTTCCAATTCATCTATCACTCATACTATCTATCGGCGCTAATGGCCGCGCCGTAGCTCAAGCGGTTGGTCGCTGGCTTCCCACCGCGGCGGCCCGGGTTTGATCCCGGGTCTCAAGTGGGATTTGTGATGGACAAAGTGGCGCTGGGGCGGGTTTTCTCCGAGTACTTCGGTTTCCCCTGCCAATCTTCATTCCACAAAATTCTCCATCACAATCATCATTCCACAAAATTCTCCATCATCATAACCAACCGGGGCATGAACAATAGGCCAATCAGTGGCCGCCGTGCCGAGTGGACACAGCTGGACTCTACCCCCCCAGTAAGCAAATTTAAATCAGTCGGCGCTATATAATTTCATCGTCGCAAAATAGCTCACAAGAAATGCATTACGCTCCAGGTTTATACACATTAATGTAACCCTCTACTTGTATGACGGCGTAAGTTACACAGATTTAGATAGTAAAATCAGCTCTTTTGAATATGAATAAATATCCTAGAACCCGCTGGAAGCTACAATTGTAAACGTATTGGATGTCCATTTCTTAGATCCTGAGTTAAGGAGGCATGATATATTTCATAAATCTTGTATCTTGCTGACAGACA